CGGTATGCTGCATGTTTGGTTCCTCAGTGATGGTTGCGAGGAAGGCCGTATGAATTGGCATGGGTCTCAAAAGTTAAAATGGTGTGAAAACGGTTCGAGATGGGTTGCGCAGATGTGTGATGTCGAGGCTTCTCTGTCTTAATATTTGATATTTTTTTATTTTTCTAGTGGCACTAGACATCCAGAATGGCGATATGACCCTTTTGCTGAATGAGCACCAGAAGTGGTATTTGTTTTGCCGTGTGCTGACGTGGGCAGAATGGTTATTGGCACGCTGGCCGAGTGACATATGTCAGTTGAATTGCCATGATGGCAGCTGTGTGAAGTGCGGCAGTTTTTTAATCGAATCTGATAACAGAAGGGCAGAGGGATCACCTAGCATTTTTTTCTGTAGCCCAGGCTGCGTGTCGTGTGGTATTGACGCATTCCTTGCATGAGGATTAATTGAGCGGCTGGTAGTAGCTTACAAATGTGGGACCCCCGTTCGGGCCATAGGACGGCTAGGGAGGGAATCGTAAGTGAGCTCCCAGAGTTGATGTGACTTTTAAGGATCAAAATAGATTTGATGCGCTGACCTGTACGAGGTTTGAAGGTTTCGAGGGGCTTTTGTTGTGTGGCTGCCGCGACTTGCGCGGCACCACAAGGTCGCGCTGTCCATTTTTGGAGGAGATGCAATGGAAAGAACAACATTTTGTGAAGTTGCAAGCGCCTTGCTCATGTTCTCTGAGTGTGCGGCCTTTGCTCACAGGTCGTGGTGTGTAGCCCTAACTTTTTAGCTTCAAAGCCAGAGGTTTTCGGTACCAAAATTTGGGGTTTCGGCGTGATGCACCCATGGCATGCTCGATGTTCGGGCTGGCTGGGTTTCTGGGTGAATCTGTGAGAATCGCTGCGATTTCTTTCACCGCTTCTATCCATGTTCTTTTGGATCGCACGCGCCTGGACATGCATGGCTAGTGGGCAGGTTTTCCCATGTTTCTATGGCATTTTTGCCAGCGAAATGCACGCAAAGCCACGCAATCTCACCGCCTTCTGTCGCTCTCCTCAGCCGCTCTGAGGTAGGGGACGGGCGACTCTTTTGCAAACTTTCACTGTGGTACCTGGAGTGTCTGGCCATGTTTCAGCCACGATATTTACAACCATTTTAGTGCTTTGCCCCAAAGGTCACTGTAGCTTGAATCCATTGCTCATGGGCAGCCGCTTTTGAATTGGGGTAATGGGGGACACAGCCTCTTCAACGGCGCCGCTTGAAACCAGTACTGGTTTCACTAGTGCTTCCCCTCAATTATCTGGCAATTCACTGAATCAATTGTCTGATACTTTGCTGATCACTCATGTGAATCTTCGCGGACATAATCTGATCCGGATTATGTCCGCAAAGATTCACATCAGCGGCTTTCTGATTTCTGCCTCAAGCATTTTGTCGATTTGATCACGCTTGGTCTCAAGTTGACGCTAGATGGCGGAGCCAGACCTGTGTCGCTAAATGAAGTGATTACCCGAAATCGGCAAACGCTCATAAGAGTCCCAGACTGCCCCCGGCTCATTCGAAAACTTCCCTCGAGCGTGCAACTTCCAAAATAGTCAACCCATCCTGTCTCAATGAACAGCATCCAGGACCCTCTTCATCGCCTCCCATGGTTCAAAGCCTGCCGTTCTCCAATCCGCCGCACTCGCTGCAACATTGGCTGTTCGCCTTCCTTGTAGCCTTCTTCCCCTTTGCTCACAGCGTTCTCACGGGGCTCTCCTCTCTCCTCGCCGCTGTTGCTCCCCCCGCCAACCCACCCCACCCCACCACCAAAGACTTCTAAAATCTAGACTTGCAAATTGCGTCACCAAGAATGCCCGTCTCCACCCTCCAGGCACAACTGGCGCCTGCAATGGGACCAGGGACAGCCAGCCACATTCTGTGGCCTTTTGACAGCCCTCATAGTGCCTCTTCAAAATTAAAAACACGGCCAAAATGCACGACTTCGAGCCGCGAAAAAACCTTGTAAAACAGTGTCAGAACGTTTAAAAATCATGTACACTCACTCTATCACTACTACACAATTCGGTCCCATTTTTATACCATAAATACAGGGTTCAACACGATTTTTACACGATTTTCAACACCGTGTGTTTATCTCCGTTTTTACTACTACTTGCATCACATGATTCCACCAGGCAACGCCGCCCTTGCTCTAGAGGTGGCCACTCAAAGATGCCATCCGGTCCGTTAAGTCCGGTTCGTTAATTTTTATCAGCTGTCCGTTAAATTTCGTTAAAGAAAAAAGGAGAAAAATTCAGAAAAAACGAAAAAAATCCAAAAAAATCGAAAAAAAACCCAAAAAATCACAACAACTGCGGCTAGTTGAAAATCTAGTATGCATAGGTTGAAATAAAATACAAACATACTATCTAATAGCGAATTCCATAAACTATAAGTATGACTAAAACCCAAAATCCCCAAAAAATCCAAAAATCCGCTAATTTTTGGTTAATTTTTGTCTTTTTTCGTTATTTTCCGTTAATTAACGGAAAATTAACGGAAATTAACCTCTGTCCGCTATTAACGGATCCGGGTGGCCACCTCTACCTTGCTCCATGCCCATGCATTTGCGTGCCGAAAGCTAGAAATGCCTAGCCTTCAAATGCCCCTTAAAGTCATTTCACCTTTGTCACCACAATTGCGATACAGTACTGCACTGCACTACTGATGGCAGCTGCATAGTAACGGCTCCGCCAATCATGCATGATAATCATAAAAAAGCAGTAATAAAGTGATGGTATTCAAGTGGCAAGAATGATATGGCTTGATCAACGCTCATTGTGGAGGTTCAATGGTGAAATGACCAGATTGGTTGTATCATCATCATCCATTGGGCGCAACATCCGCTCTCCTTGTCAATCAGTACACCAAGTCACGAGGTCCTACTGCCGCTGGGGACGCGCGCTGCAAGTCCGACGAGCAAGTCCGGACAAGTCCGCCCCCCACGCCCGAAGCGATGCAAATATGCCCCAATACGGTAATGTCCTGAGATGAACTGTGACACAAAAAGGGAAAGGGGGGGTTTAGCAATCTGACGTTAAGCATACCGAAATCAAAATAGTGTCTTCGCTGAGAGGTGAATCTTTACCGATTTTGCCATTTTTAGTACTTACACTAAGTGCTGCTGGAATCGACAGTATGATTGATGCAAAGATCGATCCAGGAAGCTTTCCATGCAGTGGCAAAACCATCCTGATCAGACCCATTCAATGTACTATATGTATTCAACACCGCTTCCCTTGCTTCTTCTCATACGGTGTCTTTCTTGTTGCTCGGGTGCAAGGGCAATTCACATGTGCGACATCAGATGCCATGCGGTTCCTCCTGTGGTAGATGGACCGGCGGCGCTGCGGTGTCAACGGGAGCGCGACATCCTCTCATTACCCAATACCTCTACGGCAGTGCACTATGCCGTGGGTGTACGTACAGCTGGGACGTTACGTCCCAGCTCACGGGTGTCTCATCCAACCCACTGGGAACACGACCCTGAGTTGCGCCTGGCCTGGGGCAGAGCAGCTGACGGGCCAGGCGCCCTCGGAGCGGATCACTTCAATTCCCCCCAACTGGAAAGAACACATTGCAGCGGGGCGCACCCGATGTGCCCCAGCTCATTTTGCATCAACACAGCGGCTGTATGGCCGATCGCAATGCTGCCGCAATGTCACATCCCACCCCAGGTGCGGTGCATGTGATGAACTCTTTCTCGGGCGCGAAGCCGTGCGTCGTCAGTCTTCAATCCGCCGCCGGCTGTGTGGGGAAGGGCCGCCGTCGCGGCAGCCAGGGCGGCCATAGCTAATCGCCCCCCGTCTCGTGTCACTCACGGCCCTGGGCTCCTCCAGTCCTACCTAAAACCGCCGGAGCCGTGCGCTTGGCCGGGGCCCGCGAACGGGCGAGCCTTTCTTCTGAGATTGGTGGGGGCCGCAGCTGGGGTGAGGCCATTGCGGCGGTTGGCTATCCGGGGGGGGGCGCTCGCGCGTTTGGCCTCGCCACGATCCTCGCGCGCTACTGGCACTGGAAGCGGCGTTCGCCTTGTTCGGAGGACGAGCTCACCGCAGGGAAAAACTTGTCGGAGTGTGCGCTGCCGAACGTGCGTGCTGGCGCGGCTGATGTTCTCAGCCTTCTTTGAGAACATGGAAGCCATTGTGCTCGCAAAATCTTGGGTGGCGAAGCCGCAAGGCGTCCGACAGCGTTGCCTCAAAGCAAAATCTGCGCGTGATTGGGGAATGCACTCCAGCGAATTCGTTTTTCTTCCTTGCCTCGGCTTGGCGATGCCAGCCGCGGCGACGAAATGAGACAGTGGGGAAGGGGGGGAGGGGGGAGATTGTCGCTGACTGGCGATGATGCTTGCGGCAGCCGCTGTGCGCGCCCGCTCCTTCGGCGTCTGCCGATGTTGGCGTTGGCAAATTGCAAGCGAGCCGCGGGGTTGCATGAGCGTCATGGCCACGAGCGCTCCATGCCCTGTGCTTGGCATGGATCGCGTCAATCGCGGGCGCGGCCCTAGAAGGGCGGCTTGGGTCCCATTGGCCTGGGTAGGGTTCGGGCTCATTAGCAGGCCTGCTGGGTGAGGCATGCGCCCAAGTTCGCGTGCATCGAGGCACAGGGGTATCCCTGTGCGGAATTTTCGAGCGATGTCTGGGAGGTTTGGACACGACGTGGCTATCTAATAGCTCCGCGTTGGGCGCGGTGGTGCAACAGCTCAAGAATCGACGTGGACATGTGGCACCCCACCCCCCACCCCACCCCCGAATTGCTGGAAGCGGGAGGCCCGCGCCAATGCTTTCGATAGTAATGTCCATTCCTGTTCAAACAATGTCCCGAACGAAGGCCCACCGCCAAACAGAACGTTCTGTTAACAGGTCCAGATATGATATCTTGGTCACATCAATCGCCACAGAGATTTCCAGTTTTGGGCCCATCTATCCATGTTCTGCCTAAAATTCTTGCTCTGTCTCTCAGGACTGACACGGGGGCCATGAGTACCGCCACAACCTTTGTCGTCTGCGTCATCGGATTCGCTGCCCTGGTGCTGGAGCCGGTGGGGGCCAGAACCGCACAAAAGGATTGTGAGTGGAAATATGCACGGGCAATTCCTGAATGGTTGGAAAAGATGGGACATTCTTTCCCTAAGGCCATCGATTACAACACATGCGATGATGGGAGCCCATTAGCCACTGTGCACTCCTGTTTTCAAAAAGGACGTCAAGAGCAATGTCAGGGCATGAGTTTGTGGACGTGCTCAGACATTGTTTGAACTATGTTTCAATTGCAACCTGAGCTTTGTTACCCGCCAACCTCCAGTGCGAGCTCCATGGCGGAGAGTCCTTGGTCTCTGCAATACACAGGCTACAGAACCAAATCAACTTCTGCCTGTGACTCAAAATTGTGCTGTACGAAACGCCGTCAGTCTAATGCCATATGGCCGCAAGCAAGAACGCAGTCGTGCAGTCTTTGTTCCATCTGACGCCTTGCGTGTTTCAGTGGAGGCCTTGGCCATCATCAAGGAAGAAGTGAGAGACCGCGACGAGTACTGGAGGGGTGTCGTGGACAAGTGGAGCGGAGGGGGTCCAAATGGTGAAGACGATCCTTGTGGTGAGTGGCACTCTGGATAGGCAGCGTTTGCCCCCTTCCACGAAGCTTCAGACATTCTAGCAGTCGGCATTGTGTTAAACCTCAGCTGCTGCTGCATGCGCGTGTGCACACGTGCCCACATCTCCGTGTGTGGGCGTCTTTTTTGATATCGTACTCAAACCACAGTTGCGATCGTACTTTCGTGGGCCTTTCTCCAAAGTGTTGGCAATGTTGATATCACAACTTCCGCCACAGCTGTGCTTCTGCGGAACCACTGGATCCAATGCATGGCAGCAACGAGGGACAGCCGTCTTTCATTTAGAACGTTTCTCACAGGGATGGATCTTTCTGGTTGCTTAGAAAGTGTTCTTGGAACACTGATGCGTGCATTGCCACATCTGATGGAAAAAAAAAACTAGCAGTGTGTTTCACCACAGTGGGTATGCAGGTACGGAGCAGAAACGCATCCATTGCAATAATCGGAGCCATATTTCTCCCCACATTTGTTGGTTCAACTTTCAGTGCAACAGGGCATTGGTTAGGTAGGAACGCCTGGCAGTCTGATTGTCGCGTTTGACTGTTTGCACGCAAGAACTCGCGAACATTGTAGCACATGTTAGACAGAGCCTGATCAGCGCCGTAAATAGTTTCCAGTCCTAATGCGTCAATGGTTGCAATCAGGGCTGAGTTGGAGGGGAAATTGGGAGGGAGTGGAGTGCAGGGGGCAGGACGACAAGCCATGGGAGGAGGATCGCGTCGTGACAAACATCCACATCACGGACACCCAAGTTGGCGGCCCAATTCCTCTGGGCATGAGCCTCCTCCATGACCTCATCGAGTTTGACATGGTGTGTTCGGAGTGAACTTGGTTTTGGGATGTTGGCACTTCTGGAGCTTTACATTGTGCGGAAGCTGCATGAACGAAATGTAAATGTGGTTGCATCCCCAATGCAACGTTCCCTAATGCACAATGTGCCTTTCCTAGCATGTAACCACAGTGTAATTATATCAGTGCTCTCCCCAGTTTTTAGAGAGCCATGTAGAATATCCATGCTATTGGGGTGCTCGCCCTACCAGTAATATCGGATCGACCTATCTGTGTAATTGTGTGACCGTGTGGATACGTTGCTTTGTTCTGCGTCTCTTTCACTATGCGACAGATGCATTCAATGAACAGTCCTCTCAGACAACAAAAGAGAAATCCTAAATCGCGCAGCAAATTTAAAATCCAGCAGGCAAGACGATAAGAAAGCATGCCTCCGTTGCGCGATCTGAGCACGGCTCGAGGGCCTTGTCAGAAGCGTCGAATGCCAAGGTAAAGCACGAAAGCTCGGGACTTTGCCCGACCTGCACAGATTGTATGTCAGAACAGATAAAGGTATGCGAACATAAAGTAAAACATATATTGAACAGGACCATGCCTAGGCATTATGCACATTTCATGCGCGAGTCTCTGCAAACTTTGAATTGAGAACCTGCGCATCGTCTGTTTTTTCGCCCATTGACCATGATTGCCACGTCAGAACGAGAGGCTTGAAGGCGGTGGATGCCCAGATTCAAGTATCTGCACATGCAGCGTCACAGACGTAGTCCGCAATGGTTGTGTGTTCCTTTGCAGGATGGGAATCGGCTTACTGGGCCGCTCATCCCTCAAATAGCATGCATGCCCAACTTGGGTGAGCTTGACCTTGCCAACAACTCCATCTGGGGTCCCATACCAACAGCGTGGAGAGGATTGACAAAGTACGGCAGATGCTGGAGTATTGTGACGTGCACGTTCTCTTGTTGATGGCAGCGTTCGGTTGTTGTTGCATGCTGCCACCATGGGCGTAGCAATGCGTTCAAACCAACAACCCATCGTCTGAATAACAAGCCCTAAAGTGGAGCACAGGGTTGTGTGCCCCATCTGAATGTCGCGGGCACTGCTGGTGTTAGCTTACCAAGCTGCGAGCGATACGCGAATTATGTTTTTCAACGAGCAGCCAGTTCCACTGGCCATTAAACGACCATTTCAAGCACATTTCGGTCAGTGCTCAGTTTATGCATAGTGCTGAGGAATGGAATAAGCGATCGTGTCAAAAATTGGGCAAACCTCAAAACTATGTGTACCAAGCAGGTTCTGGTATGTTGGACATTAATATGGGTACGTACAAGTATGGAGTGTATGGTGGCAAATGTTTGGTATGAGCTTTCATGGATGTCTGTATTCCACGTACTTACCCAGGTAAAGAAATAATTGCAATATATAAAAGCTTAGTCAGATTTGGTCTCGACCGTCCTTTTGGGGCCATTTCCACCAGTTTTAGCACGCGATATGTGACTTGTTTCGCGAGCTGGGTGCCACACAGGCTGGAGGAAGGCGAGCTGGAGAAGAACCCCGAGCTGACCGGATGCATTCCCAAAGGGATGCCCCCGGTGACAACAGTCTGCCCGCCCGAGCTGGCTTACTGCGAGCTGATTGGAACGCTCACGGACCAAACCGGAGTGTGGTGAGTGCGCAAATGAGGCCCATGAGTCATTCTCTGGATTGCGTCGCTCGCCGCATGTCGTGATTTTGCTCTTGCAGATTCCAGACTGTTGCGCCATCTCCCAGCACTACTCGCGCTGCGGGCGTCCAGCATGTTGGTGTGGCCATATGCTCCCAAGATTCTCTCACCCCGCTGCCCACCTCAAGTTGCCGACAATTGGACTTTGTTGCAAGCTGAATGAAGGAGTGCACGAGTATAGGCTATAAAATGCGGGTGACTATGATCATAGGCCGCACCGATGGCGCTTGTCACAAAGGCTATTTGCTAGCCAAGTGGCAGTCGGTGTCCAAATACAGGCTCAACCCAAGATCCATCGCCCGGATGCTGACTGCTGAAAAGTTCGACAGACAGCCTCGCGGCGCTTGCGTAGAGACCTGGCGTTTCGCTGGGCAGCTGAATACTGATGTGCCCACGCCAGCGCGGCATGTGGGTCATTAGTTAAATTGGCACTTACTGAGTGGGCTTTCAGAGCCGCACCCTGAAAATCGGGGATTAAATGTGGGGCTGGAGCAATCAAAGCACGTCTGCCAAGGCGTGCAAGCGCTATGCAAACACGCTCCACGGCCAACACTGAGCGCATTGTCGCCCGAGGGCTGACGCCTCGATGGCCTTGCTTTCAGGGGATTCTGCGAGGACTATCCAGACGTCAACCTGTGGTGCCCAACGCCTGAAGAGGTCAGGGAGTTCATCAGGAACGGGAAGGACTACGACTCGCTCGTGGACAGGGAGTCGATGTCCACGACCCCAAAGCCAGCTGGTTTCATCGGCAACGCTGGGCCAATATATTCCGATTCCCCGTCCGAGCCCACAGGACAGGCAGCGCCAGCCCCTCCCCCACCGGAGCCCAGGGGCATTCTGGGGAGGCTGCTCTCCGACTTTGGGGTGACCTTTGGATAGAATCCGCGAAACAATCTAAGCACGGATTGAAGCCCTTGCTTTTAAGAGCATAAGAAACATCGGAGAGGTCTGTGCTGTCATTCGCTTCGACTAGATCTTGATGCAATGGTAGTCGCATTGGACCCAAATCCAAGAGGATGCAGTCGAAGAGTGGTCACTCACGCTGGACGTCATTTTGCCGAACCGAACCGCACTTTCCAGGGCATGTTGTGGCCCATCGAATCCTGGTTGGAAATCCATTTGGCTAAATAGTTTCTGCTTCGGTACCGAGATTAGTTAAGAGCGGCACTGGCTGGTTCTGTTCGCGGGATCGTGGCGCGTGAACCCTTGTCCGATGCCTTGACCTTTGGGACTCATTCCCCAAGGTACGATTCACAGCGTGTGGTGGAAGAGGTCGGTTTACATAAAGTTCTATAATTTAATCAGCTGCTGTTACCGTGGGCCAGGATTGGCTGCCATCCGGAACGCCGCCAGGAAGCAGAGCCGTGTGATCTGCTCTGTTTGTCGTTTACTCGAAGATGCGACCGTGCGAAATGCAAGGGCGCCGCTGTGTCTTGTCCAAGGCAATTTAAAGGGCTGCAGCAACCTTCCGAGATGCTGATGGCTGCGGCACGATGGTCTGCGGGCCGTTGAGCCGTCGTCTAGAAAGGCTGTTCTGATGTCGAACGTGCCCCAGGGCGACCGAGCCGGGGGTTGGTCACATGGCTGCTGAGGGCTGGCGCCCGCTCTCACACTACCGAAAACACCATGTTTGCAATGCGAACTGCGATGCTATTTTGATACAAAGTGGCTCTATCACAGTAATTGCCATGGCATAACTGTGGGCGTGATGGCATCAATTGGTGCCGAATGGCACCGCAGCTGGCCTCGCAAACACGTTGCTTTCTACTGGTGTCAATAATGGGCGACTTTAGCTCAGCTCGAGGGCAAACATTGCGGCCAGCATACACCGAGCCATGTGTCTCGGTTCAGAATGACAGCCCAGTGTTCCGAGCATGGGACGAGTGCGGCGTTTCTGCCACGAAGGTGGATTCTACACTGCGCAATTGCAAATTCTAGCCAACGGCCAAAGTCGAAGCCTGCCATGGCGATGAAGAAAGGAGGGCACAGAGACCATGATGAAACCAGGGTTGCGGGCATCAATGGTATTCTGCCGCCCAGAGGTGGCGCATTTGGCCAGTGCTTTACGGGGCGTCAACTCCCTGCCAGCTTGAAAGCTCAAAACGCATCAATCTATCGGCCACGCGAATGTCAATGTGCACGTTTCAGTGGACACCGAGATTCCTTTGCGATTGAATGCAAGCCATGCAAAATGTTGCCCATTTTTCCGCGTGAGGCGACGCGGGGCGGCATGTGCCGTGGACACCAAATCCGTTGGCTTCACACTTCGCCGCACGGCGCTCCCCACAGTGTCCGTCTGCCCCACCGGAAAAAGGAAGAATGGCGAAATGTCGGCGGACCCGTTCTTGGGGGCATTACGACTCCCCCAAGCTGACTAAGCCGCCGAGAACCGCGCCGAACGCCGGCATACCCGACCAACGGGTTCGTGCTTCCCTGGGCCGTCGGCCCGATGCGACCCAACCGCCCTCCCTCCTGTACCGCACGATAACGGGCGCTCCCCGCGGCGTCGGTTGCCGCCAGCCCTTGCCCAGCAGGGGAGGCACCCAGAGCCTCCGCACAGGACCCGCCCGCACCCCTTGGCCTGCCGTCCTCCCGTCTTTTGGCGCCGCTTGCTTGAAAGCAGCCGGCATGGTGTTCGCCTTCGTCTCCCGCGTTGTGCAGAACCTGGTGGGCTACGTCTGGCCGGCCTACCTGTCCTACAAGTCGGTGGAGGCCCGGAATCCGGAAGGCATCCGCGACTGGTGCATCTACTGGTTCGTTCTGGCGCTGTTCACGATCGCCGAGCGCTTCCTGGACGCGTTCCTCTTCTGGGTGCCGCTCTATTACCCCACCAAGCTGGCCTTCGTGATCTACCTTTGGCATCCGCGCACGCTGGGCGCGAAGACGCTCTATGGCAAGACCGTCCGGCCCACGCTGGGGGCTTATGAGGGGCAGATTGACCAGGCTATTGAGGAGGCCAAGGGGTGGATCGGGGAGTACGTTCTGGCGAATAAGAACAAGGTGGTGGACTATTTGAGGGTGCGGGGCACGGAGCTGGCCGCCCAGGCGCACAAGCTGATGGGCCAACTGGAGGCGGACGATGCGCCCAAGAAGGAGTGATGATGTCGTGCGAAGGCGGAAGCGAGGGCGCGAAAGGCGTGACACGGAGGGCGGGGTGACGCCTGGACAGGCGGACGTTACGAGGCGAAGGGGAGGGGCGGGATGCCCGGGAGCGTGGATCCCAACAACGGAGGGGTTGGATGGGCGAAGCTCGGGCGGGGTGCATCGACGAGCCCAGGAAAGTTGCCTGCCTGGCGGTGGGAATCTGGGAGTGCGGGTTCAGCGGCGCATCGTCGATCGAGCGGCGCAGGCCGAATGCTGGGATCCGCGCCGCTGTTGGGCTTCTCTCGGGCCACGTGGTTCTCGAAACTTGGGCACAGATGGAGGCATCGGTGCCTGGGGGCCATCTTGGGATCGTGGTGATGGCCTTGCGATGTCAACACTGTGTTGGTCAGGAGTGAAGCCGATGAAACCTTTGCATTGAACTGGAGCCGGAGCAGGTTCTTTGTAGAAGCAGACTGTGAAGATAGTGAGAAATGAAACGTGTCATCTTGCCGATGCTTGGGCTTCCTGGTGATGCACAGTCCTGTCCACCAGCACCTGCCACTTGCTCTGTGGAGGATGTGTGCAGATATCGTTGTCAAAAGCGGCTGCACAAAATGTCAACCTCTTGCTGCAAGTTGAAAGCTTATCAGAAAGGGAGGGTTCAGAACACAGGAGAACAGGTGCCCTGGCTCACACACCGGAGGGCAGAAAAGCATGTCAGCATCTGGATATGGCAGTTGTGTTTGGTCCACACAGGTTTTTCATTTGCAGTAGGCTTTTTACTTACAGACAGTGTCTGTTAAAGAATCTGCACAAGGCCGCCATTGGAAACTTGGCCCAGCAGCTGTTTGTTTAAAAGTCTGGTGCACAGCTGGCCATCTGGCCACATATTGAAGCTGCAGCCATCACTGTTGGATCACAGCATGTTGCACTCATGGTGGCTCGAAACGTCACCACAATCTCATCCAGAGTTTTGTGGAGCATTGTTTTCTTTGCCACTGGCTTGAAGCTTCCCACTGGTTTTCTCTTGTTGTGGGTTTAAACTCAGTTTTGGCAGTGTGGCTGCTGGCTCTGCCTCATGGACTGCCTGGAAAAGCACGACACTTTATTCAGAGGCTATTCTCCCAACATCCACTATCAAAGCTGCAACTGGAAGGCGCGTGCTGGAGAGTGTGCTTACCCACAGTACTTGGTCCGCTGCCTCATAGATGCTGATGCCATCGAGGGCAACCTCATCGAAGGGATCCTCAAGCGAGATGGATAGGTTCAGCAAAGCAGAGAGCACAAGGTTCATCTGCAGCCCAACAGAAGGCACTTACATTGTCAGCAATAGGACAGTTAAGTGTCGCCGCAGTAACTGCATAGCAATGGTTGTCTTGCCAGCCTTTTTCCCTCCCTCAGGAATTGCTATAATGTACTTTCGTGTCTTTCACTTTGTATGCGTACAAATTTGGTGTTGTGTTGACTTCCAGACACTTTGGCAATGGCATCGCCTTACCATGAGGGCGAGGAACAAGGCAAAGACGAAGCCCATCTCCATCTTAACCTGCGCCCACAGGGGACCATAGAACAGCGGGAGGATAACCACCACATAGAAGCGGACCATCGATCGCAGCACTTGCGGTGTTCTGTACTCTTTCAGTTGCGACAGCTTTTCCACGGCAGCGAGCAGCTGCTGAAGGGACGAGTTGACAGCGGCGATGTCGGCGGCGGTCAGGCCTTGCAGGCGCATTTTCTGCCATAGCATCGCACAATATTCATTCAATATGTGGCTTTGTGCACATGTGCCCAAGGGAATGCATGATCAACGAATGGGGTTTTGTCTGCGGCTGGTTGCGATGCCCCCAGGGAGATAAGAGTGCACCAAGAAAATGCAGCAGTCTCTTTGCTGACTGCGCTATGCACTGGCACCCTAGCACCATAGTTAAGGACTTCATGTGCTGTATTTCTCGAACTGTCGATCTGCTGAAACCAGCTGAGTAATTGTCATTTGATTCTGGCTGTGGCACCGGTCATTACCATGCAAGCCACTAAGGTTCATGGGCCTTAGTCACTGTTGATCAAAAGTGGGAATTGAAACTTGAGTGTCGTTGATGGCAGTGCACGAGGGCTCGGGGCTCCCACCGGCGTGGGGAGAGGTGAACACCAATCAAAGTGTTCGCCGACCGCTCACCTGGCAGTGTTGAGACAAGTCCTTCAGGGTCCCGCACAGCTTTCGTGATCTGACTGACATCTCCTGGGAGCCCAGCACCTGCGCGTTTGACAACACGTTGGGGTCCCATCCTCCGCGAGCTGAGGCCGCCAATCAGCCCTCTATGAAGTAATTTTGACCATTGCATGGTTTAACGTCGAGTTGAAACTATGCGCAATGTACACCCAGGTCAGCACTGGCGAAAGACACCGCAACACCGCCAACTTGCAATCGCCTAGGGGACGATGGCGCTTATCCAGCAAGTCAGGGTGTTGTATGAGGGCCACCAAGAAAGGGCTGAGCACAAGAACTCGCGGCCGCCGCTCACGCGGTCCACAGACTCGCTTCACGGAATTTGATGCCCTGCGGATACAATTTGGATGCGGATGTTTCCGTTCCTCCGCAGACAATTGAGCGCTTGGGAAATTGTTGTTTTGATATCTTATCACAACGATGGCACTGCAGTTTTCGACCAATTCGCACAAATTAAGCGCTCGCAAAAAAACAATTGTCTGGGGGGCCTGTGGACAACTCTCGCTGGACGTCCCCGCTTTGGCTCCTTGCGGAGGTCCAACGGATCCATCCGCTCTTGCCTACGAATGTCAATGTTCCTCGGCATCGTGCACTGGGATGTCATCCAACATGGACATATGGTGGATGTGGCACGTCCAGGCATCAGCCGTACCATAAAGTGCGGGACATGGGTGCTTGTTGGCATTTGGAAGCTGTAGTGCTGGGTTGTGAACCAGCAGTGCTGCAGGTAGGCTTGGAGATCACCTGGGCACAGTGAACATCAATGTTTGGCAAACGGGCGCCGCACCACGGTTTTGGGAGGCTACTGTCCAGGAGCCTCTCCTCCGGCATTCGGCAGCCCTGCTTTGTGGATTGCAATGGACAGCAGATGTCGAATTGTTCATCGCGCGAAGGAATTGGTGACGGGAACGCACCCCACAGGGTCTTCATTAGCCCTCGCAGATCCTGCAGGGTTTGTTCACAGGGCTTTGACGGCCAGTCCCTGTGGGCTAAATAGAGCGCTAAGCAAGCAGACTTCACTATTGGCACAGCACACACACACACGCAATATCTCAGGGCCTGGATGAGAACTGCATTGCACGCCAGATGAGGGGCAGCCGCTGCGCTGAGCACCATGCCACAAGCGTGTCGTCCCACAATAGTGGTCTTGGTGATTGCCGATGTGCGAATACACTTTGCACTGTTATGCGCTTTAATTCGTGCCCTGCACCGTCTCTGCAACGCTTCCCCTACCGTCACCGTCCATAATGTGCTCCAAACCAGTGTGGCGGATTTCTTGCGAACTAAGCGACAAGTATTGGGAGCTTCCCTTCGCCTTCAGGTGTTGAATCACAGTGACAATCACACGCGTTTATGGACCAGCGCAGTGCCAAAAGAGCGCCATTGCCTCCGGCGCGACGTGACGACGCAAGAGCATCAGGAATTAATAGATTCATAGACTTTGTGTGTGTTAAGCATTAGATTACAATGAGCTGACCACAGACACTTTTTGCCCGGGCAAAATAGGAAGCCGACGACAAACTCGTTGCCTTGTTATGTAAAAATAAATAATGTTGATGATGACGACGACGACGGCGCAAGGACTTTCACCTTGCGCAATTTCGAGCAGCGCCTTGTCCCTCCTGCCAATCGCCTGCGGACCCGGAAGAGCACCCAATTCAATCTAGCAAGCACAAAGCCAGCTTCCCGCAAGAAAATCCCACACCCATCCCCAGCTCGCGGCCACACGCCCAGGGTTGTCATTTGTGGGGCAAACACAATGTCCAGTATACTTACACGTAAAAGTGCAAAAGCAAAATTGATGCCGTGAATCTAAGCAACAAGCCTGCACTCGCCTGATGCACCACCCACAGCAGCGGCGCCACCACCAGGAAGCACGCCAGCGTCCAGCCCCATCCTTGCTCCGGGGCGAGCCGCCCGCCCCCGTGATAGCTAAAAAATGCACAAGCCGTGAAAGTGACGAGCGACGAGTAGAGAGACAGCCAGGTTTGCAGCCTAAGGAAGACCGCCAGGCTGAGGCCCACGCTCCAGAGGTGGCGGCCGGCGAACTCCAGCTGCAGGCGGGCGTCCCCCAGGCTGTGGGTGCTCCACACGGGCACGCCCCTGGACCTAAGGGACACAACGGAGGGCTTGCCCCGTGGGCCAGGAGATCCGTAACCGGGACCGTGGAGACTGGCGAGCGTGGGAGGCATAAGTCCGGCGACTTAAGGGCCTCGAAGTCACTCCTGCAGGCCTGAAGAGCGCTTCACGACTCGGAAGCGGCTGCTCCGGGCCAGTCGTCGCCTTGTTGCCACGGGTCGGTTTCAGCAAGGAAGCATGTGCGCTGCGAAAGTGTTGGGTCCAGTCACGCAGAACACTGGCGCGAGGGTGTGCTGGAATCGGCTGTGGGAAGTGGACTCCCATTTCGCGGATGGCTCCGTGAGCGCTTCTTTATGTGCAGTTCCGGTCGCTTTTTTCCACGATTTTTTTGTCCATTTTTGTTGTTTCTACTTTTCTGAGGGGAAGACACTCTTGGCCTGATTCCTAGCAGGAGTCTGCTGCCAGGGGCGACAACCTGTGTCCTATTTGAGACTTGTCCAATGAAATGATGGCGTCAGTGGGACGGCCACCGGTGAAGCAGCCGGCAAGGATGCTTGCACACAAGATTAGAGAACACAGCGCACATACAGACGCCGAGTCCTGTCACACGCGAGTGGCCTGCTTCCGGAGGGTATCATTGTTCTCCAAGGGATGCACGCATCACCTATCCAGATTTTTCTCAGAGGGATGACGCGCTAGCAGGTGCAGCGCTCCTCAAGATTTCTGCACAATTCAAGCACGGCATGGCTATTACTTGTGCGCAATTTGCTGACGTTCAGAAATGTGACGGGTAGACAACAGGACGTCAGGGACGTGAACGTGTGCTATCGGATTGTTGCCAGCACTGCTGTTGGCAACAGAGAGAAGTGTCAATTTTGCCCTCTGTACTGATAGACACGTAGGCGAATTCAGACACATGGCAAACGACTGAGTGCCCAGCCAGCACCACAAATTCACATCATTGTAAGCCATCGTTGGCCAATGCGTGATGTTCGCGGCGTTTGAAGGTCACATGCACATCACAAGAACCACTTTAGTGAGGGTTGCAGGCGATGGCGGGTTTGGCTAGAGGAAGAATGATACACGGGGCACAGCCTTGTGTTCGGGCAAATGGTGTCTTTGGGTACTGAAATGCTACCTTTTTGAGCAAATGCACGAGGGACATGTTCTAAGATCTTCTCCCTAATGGATTCTTCGCCTTCGATATCCGCTTTCCTCTCCTGCAAACCTTTTGGCTTAATGCCCTTGTTCTCCCTGTGCTGGGGTGGAAAATTCGAGGCATAATTGTTTGTGGGTGGACGACTCTTCGTAGCGGGAATTTATTTGTCAACGTTCGTTGCTATCGCCATTGAGAGTTTGCTTATATCGGCTTCGGCATTGGTTTGGATGAGTGACAGGGAACTTTGGGGTGTAGGCGCCGTGTGCTGTAGCTCTCTCTATTGGCTGGAAGAGCGAAATGCTGATGTGCTCTTGATGTGCTCTAGAAGACTGGAATCCCTGGTCTTCAAAACACAACTGGTCAGGAACGCGCAGCTTTTCGCATCCTTTGAATTTCACTGGTCCTTTCCCAGAAGAAACTGGACGAATAGGCAATATGAGAACACAGGAGAATGATCACAGAAACATTTGATGTAAGCGATTGTACTTTTCCTGTTGATGGTGCGCGCTTGGGCCCTTCGAGCACGTTTTGAAGTTTCCATTCTTGGCACCAATAATAAGGCTACGCTGGGACATTGCCAAAACATGACAGCCATATTGTGGCTGACAAGGAGCAATATTATGGTCCTGCCTCAGCATCACTGTTTGTCAGCGACACTTAGCCTGTCCGCTTTGCTTGACTCATCAACTGCCAAAGCAGTGCATGGAGACCATATAGTGCTGTTGCGGTGAGACCTATGCAAGATATCTGTTTTATCCAGCCCGCCGAGATTGAGTACTAGATTTCGCCAATCAAATTGACGTTTTGTACCCTTCTGCATCTCGGTGCAAATCTTGAAGCTCTAGAGCCGACGACGGCCCTCCACCTCGAGATCAGGCGTCTCCAGGGTTGAAGTTTGAAACTAGGCCGTGTGGGGCGACCATCAGGGCGTCGCTATCCGAAAGGCTAGCCTTCCGATGAGGAAACTCCTCGACAATCAAGGACTGTCAGGAGCCTTTTCCTTAGTTGCTTTTCGAATTTGTGTGACACCTGCTATACAGTAGCATGTTGCGAAACAAGCTGCTTGTGAATCAAGACTCTCATAGATTTAGTTTGAATTTCTCATTAGTTTTCAATGAACCAATCACCGTCTCTGCTTTGCTCAGGGAAATAGAAAGCTGACGGATACCTCATTGCCTTGTTCTGTTGATGATGATGATGATGATGATGATGAATCAAGACTCTTTCTGAATAAATGTCAGGTGGAATGCGAAGTGGCGTAGCAAATTGACCGCAGACGTTCGCT